ACCCACGACACTGCACTCCAGAATCGCTTCTCCACAACTCAATAGGACCCTGAACACCATGATTCACACTTAGTACTCGTCCACCTTCGCCCCGTAGCACTCGTACCTCGCGATTTCAGATCTTGTCAAAGTCTCAGTACTGTCAACTGAAACCTCTATTTCAGAATTAGTTAGTTTATTCTCTATAGTGGGTTTGAGATTGACGTCAAGTTACGTAAAATGTACGGCAAAATTCTGGCCCAAATTTTGTGTACGTGAACTTTACGTACGTTAACGTCCCCATCTAACACATCAGACGAAAAGGAGCGACGGGGGAAAACATAGAATTGACACCCCACTATTTATGTACTGAAAGAAACCTGAGTCAGATTGTCGGATTCTGACCACGAAATGCAAACATGTGGAGATTTGCAAAATATCTAATGAGGAATGAAAGCCTCCTTAATTGTTAACGGCACCTTCCGATTACGGTACGCTAAGCACCATAGCTTAGGGATTTAATACCGGTACTGCGAGTCAGTGTTCAAACCAACGACCCACCTACATGAACATGTAGTGCGCTAACAAGAGCATCGACGTCAAGCACGTGATGCGGACTAATATCTGATCAACAAGATTGTTAACGGGCTTTTCATCAAGCACATGTAAGTTACATACGGGAAGACTAAGTACGGTGGGATGTCCTCCAACTAGGCATTCGGACGAGATTGCCACCTACATGTGGCCTACTAATACCACAGGTCCACGACCCTAGGATCCGAGATCTCTATTTTATTTTATTTTTAAAAAAAAAAACTAAGAGTTAACGCCATGGCCTGAGACCTTTAACAGGCGTTGCAAGATTTTACCACCGTGGCCATACGTCTTTTTACGAAAATAAAACTACCGTACCATCTCTCGTATTGATTACGAGATGGCGGCGATGATGACGAACAGCAAGTAATCCGTTGTAAACATATGTACCTAATCGTTGTAAACATATCTTGCGATCCCTGGAATTTACGGTCCGTGTAGCCTAAGTGATTTACATACATGTATATCTTTTTTGTTGCAGCCAAGTGTGACTTTGCGAAGACATGTGCATCCAAGGGTTCCAGATATGGTGCTATTTGTTGAGCGTACAGGAGCTTTCAACCTCATCACTTGCGTTTGTTGCGGACACCGTTTGACATTCCTGACTGTCGATTACCAATATGAATTATACTTCAAGTTATTTAAATTGTAGTATTACATGGTTAATAAGTACATGTACGCCTTCCTGGTACCAACGAATTGCTGCTGCTACATATGCATTCGGTTTTGCTCGCTGCAAAGGAGATTACAATGTGAATTCTATCAAACATGAGTGCTTACTGGTGTACTCTTTCGCGATTAAAGGCGTACGTTGTGGCAACACAGCGTATCTATTGGTGGGGCTCGATCACACATTATAGTTGTTGATGAAGTCCCTCGCGAGGCGGCTTGCTGATGTTGGTCAAGTGTGCTTGCTGTCACTGGGGTGCCCATGCTGTCATATGCTAAGTTACTCAACACTCTGTGTGCAGCGCACTAGTTTACTCGACATTTTGAAAAGTGGCAACCTTTTAAAGCATCGCAAACTGCATTCAATCGACTTTTATTTTCCGTAACCACACCTCGATGAATCCGAAATAAATGATAAAACTTGGATCACTCATTACTTTCCCGGACTCCAACAACTCAGTAATGCCCAGACATTTGGCGACATCACTTGGACTCATTCCAAGATCCCACCACAACTTGTACTGCGCCGCTACCTGCAAGTTCTCGCCCACAACCTTCAAATCAGGAATCTTGCGTAGCGACTGAAAGTATATAGCCAGCATTCTTTCTGGGGCTAAATTCAGTAAGCGCAAGTAAATTTCTACATCCGGGTAATACTTGCTGTTCCCCAACTTCTCTCTGTATACCATGGATTAAAAAACCCAGTCAAGTATCTCTGGTCTCTTTTCGAGACTCGTTCCAGTGGTTTTGAACACTTTCGACTGCAACAAGTTGAAGACGTGGTTGGGACTTGTTCCCTTTTGTAGCCACAGCCAAAACGATGCCTTCCGCGTAATTGAGCTGAAGTCAAATCCAAGATCCGCGATTTTTGGCAAACCTGGTATTGCGATCCTATCCTGGTCGCTCCTAGTTCTGCCAAGATCTGCGATGTTTGAACTCTCGACGAACCGTTCTTTAATTTTCATGTCGACAGATGAGCGAGTCGACAGCTGCAGCGTTGGGTCAGTCGCGTCCGAGGCGGTTCCATCATTCACAGAAGCAGCCACAATTATAGCGGGAAGAGCTACGAGAAGCAGGACAGTACGGAGTATCCACATTTTGGTTTCTTAGTATCGATTAAGTGGTTCCGGGGACAATTGAAAAATGGAAGAACAAGGGTTTGGTAACTGAGAGAAATTCTCCACTTCCTCATCTTCAAATTTGATCTTCGCCTATGCACGGTATACCGTAAACGTGGTTGCGGATATTAGTCCCAGAGTCGAACCTTAAACCCGGGTACTGTTCCGAAATATCCGCTATTACCCCCAATCAGAGACAGAGAATCGTTGTACCAAATTTCTTTTGTCAAAATTGTGACAATATGAGGGGGGTCGGCATTTACGAGAGATGCACATTGAAGATTTCGCCCACCCTGGCCCGAAAGCTGTAGTGTGGCGGGATGGGTATTATCAGTATATCTAACAAAATTCGGTACGACCAAAGAGGAAGATTTTTCTTGAGTGATGCCTTGCTGGAGGCGAACCACTTTGTTTTATGATTGACGTCAAGACGGAGAACACAATCATTTACTTCAATACGGTAGCTCGTCTGTACCTTTTGCCTATAATTGCTAATTCCAACTTCATCGTGTTCAAATTTACTGTTCTGCGTATTATGATAGGAGACGCTGAAAGGCAAGTACATTAGCGTGACCCTTTTCAAGGAAAATATTACCACAGGTCATATGATTGATTTGAGCTTGGTTCCTACGGGAACACAGAGCAGATGCTGCGGTTGCGCAGCATGTGCAGTTGACGAGTTTGTTCGGCGGCAGGCATTTTTTTCTCTTAATAATTTAAGGATCTGTAGGGCCTTGTCGGCCAAAAGCACGAGTATATTATTGCTTACTCGTCCAGTATACCAGTACTTGCGATGCCCGTTCGTCTCCGTATCCCACTTCGCTATGTTTAATGCTATAGGTTCCCCTGAATTCCATCTTAAATGAACTATTTACATGCAGGAATCGGCATTGTTTATTTATTACCGATGAGATTCCTCAATCAATCAATGTTGTAAAAATGACTGTATGCTTCTCAATATCTTACACTAGAGCAATGATATTATCGGTGAAAGCTCCATTCAGGCTATATTGCAAGATCAGAAGAAAAAAAAAACACAGCAGATCTTGCTGAAATATTTTGTGGGGTATAGCAGTACCCCGCCAAACAATTGCACACGGTGCTCGCAGCGCTGTATTTTGTGCGAACCAGAATTTACATGTTAGCAGTGAAACAACCAGCAAAACGATTGGCTTTAATTCATCTCATCCACCTTTCACTGGCTAAAAAGAGCAGACCAGAACTAATCATGGCACATACGAATAGTAGTTCAAGAAATTCATGGCGTTGCACACAAAACCAGTCTCGCCCTTTTCAAAGCACTTTTAACATTGGCACATTGGCTATCATTCTGCAATTTTCCTGGCACGACGAACCCCCACTACAACTCTATGAATATCTACATCATTTTGTCTGCTGGTCTTGGAGTTCTTGCTTCGGTCCATGCCCGTGATCCAACGCAACCAGCCAACAAGTACATTGATTTCAGCAAGTTAACTCGTCCCCCGTCTGCCGCAATCGACAGGAATATGTCGATACATCCGACGAGGCCAGACCCTCGGCAACCAGACGAGCCGACATCAACATTCCCCCCAGCATCTACCAAGACAGCAGACCCTGGTCCATGGGTAACGAAGACCATCGGTCACGATGAGATTAAACCGTTCCCTCAACCTGATCCAGTCACGATTTCAGAGAAAGCAGGCGTCAAATTTAAACCTCAGATCCAAATTCGGACGGGATGTGTGCCGTACCCAGTCGTTAACGAATTCGGGGAGACCAGCGGCGGTCTTCAAACCTCTGGTAGTCCGAGGGGTGGGTGTCGAGGCTCGGTTCACGGCTCCCAGGTCTACGGCCGCTCGGCGTGGATCAATGGCTTTTGGGCAATCATGTACTCGTGGTATTTTCCAAAAGATTCTCCATCGTCTCGCATGGGCCACCGTCACGACTGGGAATTCGCTGTTGTGTTCATCGACAATCCCGGCATACCGGAACCGAAGATTATTGGATGCTCAGTGTCGTCCCACGACGGCAGAAAGAAATACAATCCGTGTCCATCTTGGGTGATCGATGGCAACAGTCTTAAAGTCCGATACAAGCACGCCTGGCCCATGAATCACGACCTTGATGTCACGGGCGACGCTGGTACATTTCAAGACCTTATCATGTGGGATCAAATGACGGACGATGCTCGTAGAGCTCTCAACTCGGTTTCTTTCGGCAAGGCCAACACGCCCTTCAACGATGGCAAATTCCTTCCAACACTGGAAAGCGCTTGGGCTTTCTGAATTGATATGTGTAAGCAAATGCTTCTGTTTGCAGTAAGCAATGGATACGAAAGGAAACCACACGAACAAGTATGATAAAATAGAACTTGTGCTTTATTCTCAGACGGCCACTAACGTTGGTGAAAACGATGTTTAGACCAAGAACCAAAAATGAGAACGCATTTTTGTCTTGGAAACGTTGGACTTTCTAACGTAACACAACAGTGCAAAACACTAGTCAATGGTGAAAGACCACTTACCTGGTGCAATTGAGATCACCCGTGCCCAAAAGAAGCCCAACTAACCGCTCCAGTGAAGAGTGTGTCCCAGAGCGTCTGCTAAAATGTTCGCTGACAAGGGACACTAAAAAACATGGATCGACGTTGGTGTTGGGTCTTGAGGACTGGAGGACAAATTGCGCAATGAGAAATAAGACCCCGCAAAACAAAAGAATGCTAGTTAACCATTTGTTGAAGTGCGATTTGCGCACACCGTTATAAAGAGGGATATCTCTTGAGGGTCTCAAATGATTTTTCCATTCGGCCGTTTCAGAGAAAAGTGGCATTGAAATGTTGCCTCGGACTCGCCGAAGAAATCACATTTTTTTTTTTGGTCAGCTTAGTGCAAAATTTCAAGCGGAATCTATTTCTAGTGCTCAATTCGTTGTCATTCTGTGCTAAATTTGTAACTGAAGTTTGAATTTTCAAAATTCGAATGTATATTTTGGTTTTTAGAGATTTTGGATACTAGAATCATTTTAAACTACGCTGGAGAATCGTAGTCGCTGGAGAATCGTAGTTGCGTTCACCCTGACAGTTGCAAAGGATTTATCAGTTTCTTTGCGAGGGCGTTTCTTGGCGCGCCCCCATCAGGAACCTCTCTACTAGCCGGGGTAGTTCCCTGGTCATCACGTCCGTCCATCTACATAGCCTCACCAGTGGTCTCAGTCACTCTGGGAGTCTCTTTTGTAATCTTCGCCGCTGCAGCGGCAGCTTCGCGCTCTCTCTTCTTCTGTTTAGACGCGGCTTGTCGATCCTTCTGAATCTGCTTCGCTGTGCGTTCATCCTCGTCGTTCGGTGGGTCGTACAATGGATCATTTTGGAACTCCTCCGGAACAAACGGGCGGACCTTATTGTAGAAGAACTGGATCTTCTCAGAATTTGGGGGAGGGTTCTGCAAAGGCACTAGGTGTTTTTGTTAGTAGGACGTGTACGCAAGTAGCATCCGTAGTGATGCCGTCGTACACACGGCGAAGGTCCTGGGTCACCTCGTCAGAGTCTGGACCCTTACGGCACTTTACTACACCAGGATTGCTCTCTCGCATCGTAAAGATTTGGTACTTTGAATGTCTTTCAGCTTCTTGTATGCTTCCTCCATGGCGTCGCGGTACACTTTCAAAATTGTGTTTTGGTTCGGAATGTGCACTAGAGCAGACGACGAAGATGCTTCATTCACAACACCGAGAAGCTGGTACATTGTCCACACATCAGCTCGAGCAATGTGCTTTCGCACGTGGCCAAACCCTCGATCCACAGCATTCTTTGTATGGCCTTTGACAAAGAACTTGAGATTGATTTCATCCAAAAGCGACTTATGTGCCAGTGCCAGCAGCATCCGCACTTCATCGGTACCTTTACCAGCCACACTCTCGTCGTACACATAGTTATACTGGATGTTCTTATTTGCGTAGAATACGCCAAACATGTTCACGTTCCGAAGCGAAAAGAAGTACAACTGCGGCGGCGTGTTGCTCACACTAGGCAGTGTAAGGTTCTGACTGAAATCAATGATAACCACGGCGAGGGTGTCGTCGACTGAGGCAAGATCAGACTTGTATTCTTCCCTGTAAAACAAAACGATGTTAGTATCCACACGATACTGTCCATAAAACATTTTGATTCTAGCATCCATCCTTACTGCATACGCCGTGCTGCTGTCGTATGCTCACCAAAAGCCTCGGTCTCTGCTGCTGTAGCTCCACTCTTCATCCGCGACCAGTAGATGGTACAAACGTCACACACGTTGGAACGTGGAGAGCGAATTCGAATAGTTGGCCAAAGCTTCGTCAGGTATTGGCGATACGTGCTTGGTCTTGGTTCACGGACTCGCAGTGCTATCTCCTCCACGTAGTTTTGCAGTTCAGTGTACAATTGGTCCCACGTAAATACGCCGGCAAAAGTGTGTACTCTGCGTTTCTGTAGTACATCTTGATCTCTCCATCTTTCGTTTCTTTACGTCGCACTCACACTGGCACGACATCACCCACAGAAACAGCGAATCTCTTGAACCACGAAACCGACCAGCGGAGATCTACAGCACCAGCGTTTTGGTTGAGAAGAATGCCGTGGGCTTTTACTGAGAAAATCCCATCGTTAATACGCGTCCTGTAGCGCGTAACTGTAGCAGTCGATATCCCGTATTACTTGCACCACGCCGTTCGACACATTTTTGTCGGATCAATGGCAGATAAAAGTTACATTGCTCACGTAGACCATGATCCCGATGACACAGCACGGTACCCGTCTTCTTGAGGACTGCCAACGTCGCTATGATGCTCTACTTCTTCTCCCCGCTGGTCATTTGCGATAGCGAACACAGAAACTGTTCCAACTCCGTGGCATTCCCCTTCAAGCACTTCTTGTCGCAAGGATCCTCTTGAATAAGACGGGTGACGAGCTCGGGAAGCTCTCCGTCATTCAAATTGATGCTAGTTGCCACAGTATTGGAATCTTCGTCAACGTCACTGTCGCTTGTCTGGATCTCGTTACCGCATGGGCATTCTTCCTCTGAGTCTAGGACCCACTCACTGTCTTCACTGGCGTCTCCACTTCCAGCGCTAGTGTCACTGTGGGCTTCATCGCGAGGTACCACAGCGTCGCTCTTTGTGGCGGTGGCGGTGTCTGCGAGAGCAGCGAGCTCTTCCATCGTGGCCTCTTACCACCGTTACACCTCCTCTATATTTGAGACGGCGTCAAACAAAAGAATACTAACGAACCTAAGTACGAATCGCGATTTAAGCTCATCGCTGTTAAGATGAGCGTCTCCTCTTTCCAATAAGCCCCCGTAAGCCTGCTAGAACCCACTACAGACCAAGTTACAGCAACCCAAAAAAAATATCTCCCGTCCCAGACAGAAAATGCAAATTTTTTTTATTGGATACTTAGATGTAAAATTTCACTGCGGAGCCAATGGTGTTGTCAGCTCAATCTAATTTGACTCAGAACATCTTCAAAAATTCAGTTTCAGCTACGATTTCACATTAGTGATTATGACACGATTAGTATCATTTTGATTTCGTGTGGACATAAGTATCACAGTCGAGGTTTAGCACTTCTCTCGCTTCCCTGATTTACTTCCGCAATTTTTTTTGAACTGGATGACCCGCGTTCTCAGCATCTCGTCCGCGACGGTTTAGAGTGGCCTTTGCAGCAACGGCCATGGCTGCTCGGTGCTCCCGACGAGCTTGTTTTGCAGCTTTTGCGTCTTCACCTTGTTCCTTGCTCGGAGCCGCGTAAATCGGGTTCGACTGAAACTCTTCTGGTACATACGGCCGGATATTTTTATGCAGCTCAGCGATCTTTTCAGACTTCTCGGCAGGAGGCTCCAGGTCTTCGAGGAAGTGATCCAACATGCGGGTTACCTTGTGTCCGTCTGTAAAAACACCATCAACTTTGCGGCGGAGATCCTTCTCAATAGGTTTATCGTCCGGGCCTTTCCTGCACTGCACAACACCGGGTTTGAAGACCTGGTACTGCTGTACACCCACGAGTTTCTTGTCGAGCTCTTCCACTAGAGGCTTGTAGCTCTTTAAAAACTCGTTCCCACGCGAAATCGTTGTGTTCGTTGTCGCAGAATCGTCGACAGCTCTGACGATGTGATCCATCGTCCAGCAGTCTGAGCGGCTCACTCGCTTCCGGATGTGACCGAAGCCACGGTCGCATGAATTTTTTGTGTGGCCCTTCACAAAAAATTTGTAGTCCACTCGCTCGAAAGTGCCGTACTGTACCTGGGCCAGGAAGAAGCGAATAACGTGGTTATTCTTGTTTTGGCCAGAGCAATTGTCCGCGTATACAACGAGGTGCTTTTTGCCCGCTGGCACCAGCACGGTGCGGATGAAGTGCTGGAGCATGGAGATTATCTGGTCGCTACCCTTCCCACTCGCAAACTCATCGTACACATAGTTCGTTTGAGTCCCGTTGTTCTCGTAGAAAATTCCGAAGAGATTCACCGCTAGAAGTGAGCAAAAGTACCAGTGTGAAGGCGTGGACGTGACGGAAGGTATCGTGAGATTCTGTGAGAAATCCATGACCAAGACGGCGAGATCAGTGTCCGCAGCTTGCGAGGCAGCTTTATCCTTCTTGTATTCGCGTCTGCATATCAATATGATATCAACGTCCCAGTTATAAATGCCGGATAAATCAAAACGATACTATTGTCCACGTACCTCATTCGCCGGGCAGACTCGGTATGCTGGCCGAGCTCCTCTGTTTTATCGGCAATAGCACCATGGCGCATGCGCGTCTGGTAAATGCTGCACAAGTCACATACGTTTGACTGCCTCGACCGGATCCGGATCGTCGGGCAGTGAATCGACAGTAGTTTGCGAAAGGTGGAGCGTGCTGGTTCGTATACGCGAAGTCCTCGCTCCACGAACTTGTGCATCTCTTCGTAGACGGTATCCCAGGTAAAGATCGCAGGCAGAAGCGTGTAGTCTTCGCGACTGTAGTATTTTTTTTACCTTTCCATCCTGCGTTTTCTGCATACGCACCCTGACTGGCACCACTTCTCCAACCTCTGCAGCAAACTACTTAACCAACCACACCAAATCCACCTTCGATGCGTTTTTGTTGGCCTTATTGCCATGAGCTGCGGCAGCTAGGCAGCCGTCCCGGACTCGGCGCTTGTATCGCGGCACAGTAAGCGGCTGCACCCCAAGACACCTCGCAAACGAAGGGCGGCAGACGTGCCCCACGAATGGCAGGTAGTAGTGGAATTTCTCTCGTTCACCAGTGCCGCGACGCCGTTCTGCAGTATCCGTCTGCATCAGTACGCCGATAAGTGTCAAAATACACGTAGTTTTCTCCGCCTTCGTCATCTGTTCAAGTGAGCGCACAAGATGCTCTAGCTCACCGGCTTTGCCTTCGAGGCAACGTCGCTCACAGGCATCATCACGAATAAAGTCCGTCACGAGCTGGTGGACATCGACCTCGATCAAATTGATACTTATGTCCTCTGCTTCTTCCACAGCTTCTTCTTCTGCCTCACTCTCTCCTGTCAGGACTTCATCCTCTTCGGACGCTTCGTCAGCATCGCTCCAGTCTTCGTCGTTGCTATCGTCTGGTTCGTCGCTGTCTTGCTCGCTCGCGTCGGCTACTGTGCTGGCTTGGGTCGGGGCTGGCTCAATTGCTACCGTGTCCTGTGCAAGTTGAATACTGCCTTCATCTAAAGCCGCAGAAGCTTGAGAGAGCGGCACGATATCACACAGCTCTGCGCTGGAAGAACGTGCACTAGCGGATGTTTCGTCTGGGGTGGGGAGCTCTCCAGAGGGCGGCGTCGGTGGCGAGAGGTGGCGGAGCATCTTTAAGTGGAGACAGGTATCTTTTGGACTGGAGCGTTTGATGAGTGAGCTCGCTTTAGTGACAGTTCAGATTCTCAAAATACAAATCGGCCGTTTTCTCAAAACTTCACTTAAATACGAAAATCGACGGCTCAACTTTAAAGGCGATTATCTCGATAACTCTAAATGGTTCATTAGTATCATTTGGTTCTGGGTGGTCTCATTTAGAGATTTGACAAAATCCCCCCTCCTGAAAAATCACTTAAGTACGAAAACGAAGCGTTGAGTTTAAAGGCGATTATCTCAAAAACTCCAAAATGTTAACTAGCATCCGTTTGTTTTGTGGGGTCTCAAATCTGGTAGTTGTACATCGCCTCCTAAAGTACAGCGGTAACTCTTGATAGCCGGATGTAGAGTCGATAAAGTACAAGTGCTTTGTCAAAATGGAAAGGCTTATTCTATCACAAGCCGCAAAAAATAATATGGATATTGTATTCATGGAAGTGGCTTATCTTGAGATGAGATTTACAAATCTCAATATACGCCTGGCTTGCAGAAGACGTATTAACACAGTACACCTTTTTCAGATCAAAATGAGAATTCCTCGGTTCAAAACAAGAAATGCTCAGATCAAAACAAAACACCTGTCAAATATGATTTACAAATCAAAATCGAATTCATGGAGTTCTAGAGTTCCAGAAGTGAAAAAGGCAAAGAACGCACGAGCCTTCCAATGGTCAGCCTGGATCGATCACTTATCGTTTAGCGATGAAGTACAAGCGCTCCCCACTAGGCCTGACGAAAGCTGAGCGTTGTGCTAACTACACGATGCGCGCCGCCAAGCTCAGCATGTCAATCAAAGTCACTCCAGACCTTTGCGATTCCATGGCAGCTCACACTCAGATTTCACGTGCGTGCTTTGAGTTTAGGCACATGACGGTTGGCTCGTGAATAGATCTCACAGGAAATCAGTTGTTAAATATATAACTGATTACAGATCATCTCATTTTGATCTGATAACTTTTTATTTTTTACAGAGGATTCTCATTTTCATCTGGAAATGGTGTAAACGACAACAAACCACGAACTACAACATCTGTAAACAGGGTTCTCTGGAAATTTAACAAAAATCAGACTCAAAGACGGCTTTGTCTGTGTTTCAATTCTAAAATACACGGAATGAACCGTGCTTGTCACCAATTATAAACGACTCTCGTTATTATTTATACTCAACGAATGACATGCACACGTCGCTTTGCGTTGTACGACCATCGTGACGACTTTGTGAGGAGTCGTGTGAAGGTTACCTATACTATAACGCTTCACAATTCTACTGGTGTACAGTTACCAATGTGGTCGAAGTAGTAGATCAAGAACAACAGGAGATCGGCGCCATTCAACAGCTCGTTACCAAGAAGCCAAGAATTGGTGCGACTTCGGAACAAAAACAAACACATGTTTACTTTGGTATGCCCCTGGTCGAAAAGCGACTCATACTTTCTGATCTTTACTTTTTGCTTGAGGCGGGGCGTCATACTTACATCCTTTCTAACCTCTAATCTCTTGAGTAATCATCTCGGACCATGACTGGGAAATAATCATAGATATAATCATCCTCGACCACGGCGTGACCATGATCATGTAAACTCTCGCGACTATATCTAAAGCGTAAATGGAGCTGCGCTGAAACTTCCAGGGCATTTTTAGCAAGAAAATAAAAGGAAATTACAAAAAAGCGATATTGCAATGTTTTAGAACAGGTAGGTTAACACTTATACTGAACTCAAGTAAATTTGTCAAACATGTGAACCCCATGTGAAACCATGGTTCCATGTTTCGATTTTGGGACGGGTGTGTTAATAACGGCTCACAAATCCCCAACAAATCACAGGGGATGAGGTATTGCATCTATCATATGTTGCTTTATCGGGCCTTAAAGTTCTTAAACTTGCACTGGGTCGATTCTTTAACGTAAAACACCGACCCAGTGCAAAACAGAATGGGATACGCCCTAGGGCGAAATCTACGGCATGCCCAGTACTCTCAAGCATCAGCAGTATCGATTTGGTTTGAGAGTGAGAGATTCACATCTGAAGAAAGTTAACCCAATCTATCCGAAGGAATTTGGCATGTTAAACTTGAAAATATTGGCATTTCTAACATAACAAGGCAGTGACATACACTGGTCAATGGAGAAAAGACCACTTGCCTTGTGCACTTGAGACCACCCGTGTGCCCAAAAGAAGACCAAACTGTCGCTGGACGTTGTGTCTCCACCGACGTGGCTCCACGTTTTGGTGCGGAGTGCTCCCAAGGGGCAGTGTCGCTTCTAACGTAGATCGAGCGTCCCATCCATGGACTAAATAGAACGGTGTTTCGCCTCGAACACGATCGTACGTCGTGTTGAGGGCGAACGTCAGGCGCTCCACGTACTCGTCCCAGTCTTTCTGGTTTAAATCTGCGCCATACATCTTCAAGGCTCTGGTCAGAGTCTGTACCATCCGTTCTACCGAACCGGTGGCTTGTGGGCGGTACGTCATGGTGACACGCTGTCTCTGTCCCACTATGCGGTTGAAGGCGCGGAAAAATCCGACATGAAGCCTGGCTCTCGATCGTG